GGAAAAAAAAGTTGACATACATAAATTACCAAAAGCCACGTTCTACTCTTATCTGTGAATACACTGAATTGCAAGTCAGTCTATTGCTGGATTATAGTCCCCCCCCCCACGCATGTGCGCTTCGTGAGGGTTTTTGACCATACTTCACCACACAAGTCAGTATGGGTTGGTGAAGATTGAGAGCATAGGCGTGTAAGCATAGATGTATTGTTCTCAAATTGTTTTATACACTGCCCCATGGGACTTGCATGTAATACATTAAAAAGCTTACGTAAAAAACACAGCGGTACAACGAATGTATCGATTCATCGACTAACATCGAGTCTTAAAGCTCATAAATCTTGGGTGCCGTGGTGGCGAGATGTTCATTACCTCGCCGAGAATACAGGTGGTCGTGGGTTCTATCATCACCTTGATGCCTGTATGTTTGGAGTTTGTGTGTCTCTCTTCCCGTGGTCGCGTGGATTTTTCTCCAGGTCCTCCGGTTTCCCCCTCCACATTTCTCAACATGCCTTTACATTATTTAGCTGCTATGAATTTCCACACGATAAGCCACTTGATTGAGCTATCATTGGTGTCCAGGTCGCTTCTGCAAAAGACCTATATAGCCTTACCAGTGGCCTAAATAACTTGTTTTTGGTTAAAGTCATGAGTTAAATTGATCCAGACAGCCACTAGAGGCACCAGACAAACTTTTTCAAGGTACGCATTTTAATTCTTAATGCAACCGGCGGTGGACTATCTGTTTGCTTAAACACGTTAATATTATTAATCCTCGATCGTTTCTGCGTGAATTAAATATCGGCCGTTCTATAGGATTCGGGAAGGATGGGGGGGGGGTGTAAAAAGTCCGCGTGCGTACAGGGAGGGGGTGAGGGGTCAAGTTTTGACAGATTTTTGCGTACCTACTTAATGGATGGCTCCTTTAGCCCAACGTTGCTCAACATACCTCCTGTGTCGAGGGCTATTTGACCACACTGTGCTTGACACTGGCAAGGGCGGTCTGGTGGAGCCGAGAGGAACACACAACCGCAATGGATGTTGCCGCACTGCCCTCGGATGGCCACGACGCCTCCTGCACCAGTCTTGGTGTTATGGAAATCAACCCAACCATCAGAACACTATCCAGGCTCAAATTTGCTTAGCTTGTGAGATAGGCTATAAACCCCTTATGTGCAGACTGCAAATATAACTATTGCATCACCGTTCAGCCATGTGTAATGTGTACATGCAAAGTGCATATAATTTCAGTCGCAACGTAAAAATGCAGTGGCAATTATTAACTTCTAAATTAAGAGCCACCTATACAACATGGTCCATAAGTCATTGGACGCTGCTCCAAAAGCCCTGCCAGCACCGATATACAGTTTCTTGTGCGTGTGCTGCTATGCGTGAGGTGCTTTGTGTGTTCTCCGTTGTTTTGGGTGTCCCACTCGATAAACAAACGTTGTTTTATCATCCTGCATTTGTGATTTACTTATATATGTGTGTGTGTGTGATGCTCGCGTGGTGCAATGGTTTAGCACACGATAGTTGCAGTCAAGAGGTCGCCAATGGGATCTCCCATTTAAACAATGGGCATATGTTTTATTATAATTTGCCCACCTCTGTCTATTCACGCAACAGTATACATTGCTACACAAAAGGTGGGATGAAGTTTGGATATTTCCCCCCCGCCCCCACCTCTTGCAAGACATCTGGCCAGTGCGGAAGAGTAGGCATAAGTACCCTCGAAATGGATTTCTCTAGAGCGCCATCTAGTGGAGACCTTTCTGCCAGCAGTGAAGTGAGTTAGGGCCATCACATTTTCACCTGTTAATTGTAGATTGCTGAACCCATCGGTTCGAGTAAATTGCATACAACGCAGCTTTGTACCCCAGCTCATTAATCTACACATTGAATAACGCTATCTCAAGAAAGACAAATGTATGGTTGTATAATAAACATATTTAACAGCTGAGCATCAACAAGCACCATAATAACCACAATTAAGCTAATTATCGTTTACTCCGAGGCGTGGAATATATATTTTTGGCCATTAAATATCCTTTCATGAAACAATAATTGTTATTAATTGATGTTGTTTGGTTTACGTCACACCCACAAAGTGCCTATTGATTGTTAAATTAAATGTATTAAATTGTCTTGTAACACTGTAATTGAAAGCCAGTAGCACAATTCGCCTGTTCGGGCTCTACTGGAGAGCTAGCTGCATGCAAGGGTGACTGGACGCATTATGGACAAACATTTGCATTCAATGCTCAAGGTAATTGAACAGATGTTTTTTTGTGTTCAGCAGTGGCTTGGTGACGTAATTGTAAATGTGCCTTTGCTTACAAAGGGTGTTTAGTATCCATCCTCCCTTAATGGTAATGGAACAAATAGCAAAGGAGCAGCCCTGCAATTGCTTGCTCGTGCCATCGCGAGCAGAAGGCCCTCCACTAGAGGGAGCCTACGCTTTGTGACAGTGGCCGGATAGATTTCTGAAAAGGTGGCAGCACCGACGCGTAATTGCACGGATTGACCTATGGTGTTTCCCGTTTACACTGCTACTGTATGTGGACAGAGGCGGAGGAGGGCATTTCAGACAATTTCACCATTGTTTCTACTGCCACGCTGGGAGATCGAACCGATGTCCAAGTCGATATCTTGATCGCAAGTCGAGTGCGCTCATAATTTACACGACGGCAGCGTCCTCCCCTGATGTGTACATTAAACTAATTAAATTTGTGTTTTTCCATCGTCTCCATGGAGACAGAAAAAGTTCAGCATAATGACCGTGGCAGCGTTATTAAATACACCTAATTAACTAGAACATGCAGCCCCGTTTATGCACCTACCAAAGCTTAGCCTATTTCTGGGCAATTGACGTCTAACAAGACAATTCACTCTGGGCTGGGTCTTAATTACGAAAGGGCATGTAGGTTGCTGTACAAAATGTCTCACCATTGAAAACACATGAAGCAAACGGCGTTATGATGGGTGGGTTCATACTTGCGCAAAAAATATATATATTAAGCGGCTATTTCTGCAGTATGTTATTGTTTGGAATGCATATATCTAAATAAATTCATAATTCCAAACACATTTAGGGCCTCTTGAACTACAGTGTAGGAGAGGCCCGCAGTGACGGCAAATGCAAAGGTACGGGTCACATCATTGTACCTTCCTTGTTATAAACCATGAGCCGTCCACTGCTGGATGAAGACCTCCCCACATCTTCACCATTCCTCACAGTTCCACTGATAGTCCATCGTTACACCTGCATGTAAGGTGATCTCATTGCTCCAGCTCCTCGGTGGGCTTCCTCTGGAACATGTTGACTCCATTGGCTGCCATTCCATATATCTGATATGAATTTGTTCTCTGAGCCACGTATCTCTTTCTGTATCTCAGTGTAATTTTGAAGAAAAAAACACATCTTCTTGCTTCTTTCGTGAAATTCTCAGCTGTTTTCTCATTAAATTTCGGGTGGCCGTGCTTCCAATTCTTATACATCATAGGAGGTAATGTGCACCGACTGAAAACATTTACCTACAGGCACATGTACACGTTGCTTTTTCATGATCGACTTTTCCCAAAGCAAGACAACTTGCTGTTGCTCGAATCTTCAATTGACCACTGTTATGCTGATCTGATTTCAATAATTCTCAGAGGGTATACAACATACTTTGCTGTTTTCTCAGTAGCGTCGATGCGACATATTTTCCTCTGCCCATTTTCGTTCGCACCTTTCAATCTAATATATAAAAGTGAAATTTGTGAATGTGTGTGTCTGTTCGAAATGTTTAGCATACTTCCCGACATGCAATAAACTTGAAATTTGGCATGTGGGTACTTTCCAGACTGTACACCATGCAAAAATTATAAAAATAGACTTTTGTATATATATATTTTTTTTGGGGGGGGGCGTAATAATGCATATATTTTGCACGGCAAGTGAGCTGTGACGTCACATCTGTGCTGTCACCCGCATGCGGAAGCGTTATGCAGTGTGTCTGCTGATGTCACACATCCCCCCCCCAACCCTTCTTGAGTAAAGTGCCATACAAGTGTGTTGCAGGTCTAAGGCGTTCTTCGCGCAGCATTGCTTCATTATTTCAGTCGTTTACTGCCGTACGCACCCTCAAAGTTGTGTGTGTCTGCAGCAAGCACGTGTATGTGTACCTGTGGACGCGTGTGTGTGTGTGGGGAGCGGTAGTGTAGTGGTTAGCACGCTGTCTGTGTGTTTGTATCTGTGTGTGTCTGCGTGTGTGTGGGGGGAGCGGTAGTGTAGTGGTTAGCGCGCTGCGCTACGAACCCAGCGACCCGAGTTTGGTTCTTGCTCACGGCCACCACCGGTGATGATTATTTGAACCGGTACTGGGCCTCGCCTAGGTCGACTTAGCCTCAAACGAGTAACTGCTGTGGTGTGTGAACATCGCCACTGGGGAGACAAAGGCGGCCTGGCGTGGTGAATCCAAGTCCCGGGCGGAGCCGGGTACTAAAGCTAGTTTGCTTATACAATATTCATCTTGAGCCCAACTTTGCAGCCTTATTTTTTGCTACAGTAAATTCTCCAATCATTTATTTCCGTTAATTTCCATCGGTTATTATAAAGACCATCAGCAAATCATAGATGGTTAACATTTTTCTCCGCCTATGTTTATTTTCCAAAGTAGAATTTACTTTTTTGTTATTGGAGATTCGTGTGTGTGTGTTTTTACCATGTTCAAATGCGAGATTTGTTTTGCACGTGATGTCAGCGCACAACGATACAATCTTGTGAATGCGAGCAACAAACAGGATCTAAGCCGATCACAGACGGCGTGCTTGGGCCAAACAATGGAACGCGCAAAAAAAATGACCATCAATCTGTCAACACTGCACAAAACTGGTTCGGGCGGAGAGTGAACCGGCCACCGGGGCTGACTGCGTGGCCAACTCAGATGGGTCCCGTTGACAAGTCACGGCCTGTAGTGCAGGTAACAGGAGGTGGAGGTGGCGGTGGTGGGGGGGGGGTGGATAAGGGAGGAGCATTCCAGCGATTGGTTATTTAGTCCGTGCCTCCGCAGCTCTGAAAACAACTTCTGCCGCGATTCTTTGCCGTCCGTTCGTCGTCTCGTCACAGTTGTGCCCAAGCTGAGCCGAGTTTTCAAGAAAGACTGAAGTTTGGTGGACGCTGGCGTTCGACGCCCTCGGATTTCGTGCCCATTTCACCTCTGTCCGGCTGGCGGTGTCGCGACAACACTTACAAAGGCGGCGACTGCTACTCCGTGGTTGTTGGTTCGCAAGAAGGTTTACATTTGTAAAAAAACATTTTTTTTTTGAAGGAGACTCAAAAAAAGCTAACTTTGAAACAAAAAGGCAACAGCATGGGGACCGCGAATAGCAAGAGGAAATCGAAGCGTGAAGCGCAAGAAAAGAATAACAACGCCAGTCTGAAAAAAGTAAGAAGCTCTGTGTATATATATCTCTTCTCGCTGTATGCACAATCTGTACACCGTATACACCTTGTTGTCCAACTCTGCCTGTTGGCGAATGTCATCCCGAACACTTGTAAAAGTACACTGCGGATTTACGCCCTTCCGATCATCTTAATCGCAATGTAAAAGTAAACTGCGGGTTTGTGCCCTTCCGATGATCTTATCGCAACGTATTGTTGCGGTGCATGATGAATCGCGTGCAGTAGTACCTTTTTGAGTAACTGCAACGCATACAAATGGGAATCACTCAAGAGCTTCATTGAATCGGTGGAACGCCGTGTAATTGACATATTAACATGGTGTTTGATGTACAAGTGGCTTTGTGCAGTTTCAGAGGCCGTGCTTGTTCGCGTTGAAAGGATGTCGCGGATCATGTCATAGGAGTTTGTGAATGCACGGGAGCACTCCACACTGGACTGCCATTAGCGCTGCATTAATTATGGTTATGTTTGCATCGACCTTATTTGCGCACGTTTGTCAATGCAAATGTGTGCTTTTTTTTTCCTTCCCACCGATGCATTATGTATTCTTTTTCATCGTTATAGCATAGGGAGGCTCTGTTTAGTGGCGTGCACTTGCTCTCAAATCGTGTGCCCTTATTGGACATGCCACATTACTCGCGAGCACTTTTCACGCGTAAAATAAATGATGGAGTTCGACGGAGCGCGTTGTTTGGCTTTTAGTGCAATGCGCTGCAAGGCTTTTTTTTGCGTGTGTTGCCAGACATATTTAATGAACAATATATATGTGACGTTCGCGAACCACCATCATAGCTCGATGATGAGACGCGACCTCCACACCGTGGAGATGGAGCGATGGAATCGGCTCTAGTGCAGTCGGCGCCGAGTGGATTTGTTACGGAATGTACGTTGAACTTCTTTCGCACCGTACGTGGTCAACCGTGCTAATCGGAGGTGCGGGGGAAGGACAACAAACTAAGCACAAAAAGTAGCGAGAGGTGGCGGCAGCTTTGGAGACGATGTCATCCAGCAGTGATTTGATCCTGGCTGATGGTGAATTTCGATGAAGAAAGACACGAAAGCGTTTCGTGGGCCACTCTCACACCCAATAATAACATTGAGAAATATTCCAAAAGTAACGTTCAAATGTTTGTTTTTGTAAAATGTACACGTGCATTTTTACTTTAAAAATGATCGTTAACATTACCAAAACATGGACACGTAAATCCCCATTGATCAATGTTATTTTCGGAACAAGAGACTCATAGCATGGGAAAGTATGTGCTTATTGACGTAAATCTGTGTTTTTTGTGTGTAAAAGGGTTGATTTTGGCACACTTATTTTGATTGCACACAACTCCAGTTACTTTGAATTTCTCTCTGGTGTGATTTTTGTTAAACTACTATATTAAGTGATGTTGCATGCGGTTTTTTTCACGACCTTTCTGACTACGCATCTAGGTAATAGAACGACTCGAATGCCGTGTTGTGAAATTCAAACAAATTAATTATTCCTCCGAAGTGTTTTCGGGTTGCGACGCGGTGGCATTATGCTCTGTGTTCTGGGAGCTTCTATAGTTCCTCCGTTACGTTCATGTGACGGTCGTTTCGTTCCCAAACAAGCTCCCACCACACATCGGAGGAGCCGTTGCATGAAAGCCTCCGTGGGCAGCCGAGTCGGAGAGTGCCAATCCGTGAGGTCATTTAGGGACATTGACGGGCACGTTTGGGAACTCGTCGAGAAACTTCCACTCCGAGGGAGGGTGGAAACGTGAGTGTTTGGAAGCCACCAAACAAAGCCTGTTCCACGGTTCAAATGGTTCCGGAGGAAGTGCTTCTGGAAGCTAACACCAATATGACCGAAGCGCTGCACAGCCTCTTTGTTGCAATGGAAATGAAGAGTGGCAAGCTTTCCCATTGCCAAACAAAATCAAACTAAATTGAAGGCTTTTTTTTTTCCAAACAGACTTGCTCATCTTGCTCAAACATTTTGCTGAAATATGAGACTATCGCCCAAGCTTTTAGGTAACCCCCCCCCCATCATTAAACACAGTGACAGTGTTTTGGTGGATGTTCCGCTCGACGATGGAGGGAAAAAATGGGACCTATCGTTCATGCAAGACACAGCACTCTGAGACAAGATATTTAAAGAATAACACTTCGACGTTTACTGTTTTAAGAATGCTGGTCTAAAGTCGATGGAAATAAATATATTGATACATTTAATGGGAATAATGTCTTTATATATTTTCACATTGAACTATTGACGCTAAAAAACATTGGAATGCGAACGCACTTGCAGTCATCAATCGCGAATTTCGCTATTACATTTTTTCAGCGCGAGTAATGAAATCCTTGACGTAATTAATTTCCGTGCGAAATGTCAGCCTAGGGGGCCGTCCATAAATGACGTCACGCACTTAGGGGCGGGGCGGGGTCAGACATTTGTGACGATGTGTGACGAGGGGGGGGGGGTTTGAGAAATGTGACGTCACATCAAAATGCGCAACTTTAAATAAATACAGACAACGCGTTATACTTAATTAAATTGACTTTTTAATAAATGTTTTCTCCTACAACATCAGAGTGCAGCGCCACATTAAATACGCACTACAATGACAATAGTTTAAAGCCATTTGAAGCATGTTTTATTTTATTTTTGGGGGGGGGGGGAGGCAGAGCTCTGAGACGTCATATTTGAGGGGGGGGGGTCTGACATTTTGTGACGCCGTGTGACGGTTGGGGGGGGTGTCAAAAATCATCCAAATTCGCGTGACGTCATTTATGGACGGTCCCCCCCCCCTTAGGGTCAGCGTAAACCCGTAAGCTTTCCGTGCGCCCGTTGCTGCCCGTGCTTTGAACAGAGGCCGTCGCTGAGGGCCCACACGCCTCACGAGCTTCTTAAAGCTGCCGGATTGCTGGACACCGGGGACGCTCCAGACTCGGCGGCCGTCGCGAGCGAGGCAAAAGCGACGCCGGACCAAACCGATGCAACGGACGTCGACAAATACAAGCGCTACACGATTAACATTCCAGGTGAAATCGCGTGCGTCAGAGCCGAGGTTACCTGACTGCTTCGTGACGCACATTCCATGCTTGGAATTTTGTTTTTTTTTACGGGGGGGAGTGTGGTGTGGGGGGTGGTGAAGGTAAACAAGAAATTGCCACTCTTTGTGGACCTGGACCATTTTTTTTTTGCACACAAGCAAATATAACAACGGTGGGTCATGGTCATATTTGCATTTCCCCTTTAGTTATTCTTCCTTGTAAATGCTCAGTTACGTATTCGGACAGAAACGTTTTGTGTAAGTATAGGAGGCATTTTTAGTTGTTCGATCGAATCATTAAAATCTTAATCGGTAGAACGAAGGCCCGCAATCGAAAAAGGTTGAGAGTTCAAATCCTGGACGGGACTCGGTAAAACGAGTACCAATTTGTGCGCAAGTCTGCCGGCATACGAATGAGGAATTTCCACCACTGACTCAAGTCTGTAAACAGGAGATGACCACCACCTCAATGCTCATTTGGCTTGTCGAGTTTATGTGGTCTTGGGTTCATGTTAATCAATGCAAATGTGCGGTTTTCTGATGTTAGCCCAGACAAAACAGATGCTGGCAGTTTATATTTTTATGGGGAGGTGGCAGTAATGTGAATGGACCATGGGCTATGTCCACGTTCACGTAATCGCGGAACAATCTGCGCTGGTTCTCATTAAATTTCATACTTGAAAGGATTACTGTAGAGTGTAGGACAATCCGTGTCGATCGAAAATAGGTCGTGAAAACTGGCATCTTTCACAGCACAACATTGAATCTTCTCCGTCTTTACCTTACTAAAGTGAACTGCGATGCAGTTCCCCGCTGTGAGCATCAACAGGGGAGTGCTACACGGATGTATGGTGCATCCGCACGTTGTTGTTGTTGTTGCAACATATAACGAGATGAGTGCAGGTTAGGGTAGAGAAGTGGTGGCGGTATGGTTAGCGCGCCGTGACAAAACAATCCAGTGTCCAGCCACAGCTAACATCGGTGGCGAGTGATATCTGCACGAGTCCTGGGTGAACCCCCACCTCCTCGTCCACCTCACCCAGGGTCAACAAACCCAGACTGACCAGTATGACGAAGTATGGCTACACAGACCCACACGTGACAGATATGTCGTGGGGGAGGCCTGTATCCAGTGTTGGATAGACAAAGGGCTGTGAATTGTAATCATTTAAACATTTGGGCGTATGCATATTCAAATAGAGCACACTTAACACATAGTTTGAGAGCTACATGTACTTATGATAACGAGATATGCATTTAGCGCCAATGGCACATAAATTGAAAGCTAAGCGGCGACTGAGCCTGGACATTGTATGGATGACCGCCGTTCATAAAACAAATATATTTATGGCTTAGGGGCGACATGGTGGTGTGCAGCAGAGAGCAGAGCATAACATTCCAATGCGATGCTGTACTCCTATGCTCCCACGTCGATGCTCCTTGCCTTCACCAAGCCCTCGCTGACAAGTGTGGTGAAGTATGGTCAAATAACCCCTATCGAGGCATGGGGAGGGCCCTCTTTCGGCAGTGGATTGACAAAAGAGCCGTTCAATGTACGTTTATGTTCATACGTACAGTCCACAAATCATCGTGTCAATATATGCAGCAGAGCCGGGGTGGGGGGGGGGGACGATGTACGTACGGGGTTGTTGTTGATGTCTCATTCCTGCTGAACCTGTTGTTTTGACAGCTGTGGGGCATGCAAGCATGAGCCCGCTCTTGAATGTGGCATACAGAACAGCGGGATATGCGTTTGAGCTTGTCTCTGAAGTTACTGAGCCTCAAGTTATATTTAGGGTAGATGAGGATAACCACAAAGCACATGAACGCCCTGCAGATAATTCTCCGTTTAGGCCATCATACCCATTTAAATCCCTGGCACTGCCAGATTTCTGCGCTTGCGCTCCCACGGGCAGCAGTGTTCTAAAAATAAGATCGAAATTGCAGCAGAATCTCGCGTCCTGTTTTCTTTTTAACACCAGACCTGCACATTTTATTGGCTGATGTATTCATTGAGTGCATCAGAATCAGAATATTTATTTAGACTGGAGGAGGAATCCAATGAGCTATGGAAGCTCTTTATTCACAGATGCCCAGTATGGGCGGGTCAACAAGTTACAACAGTCAACAAGTTACAACAGCGAACAATAAAAAAAATGATAGGAGTGCAAAATAGAGAAAAAAAAGTAGGCAGGTCACTAAATAAATAAATACAGCATCATACATTTTATAAATCCGATGTATGAAGCTTGGGCAAGGCAGCAAAAACAACAACAAAAAAGACCCAGACCACACCAAGATAACACGCAGCCATCCCTCAATAAAATGGCACATTAACACTGAACTATCGATACACAGTTAAGCATCAAAGTTACAAGTCACATTTACAAATGTGGCTGTATCCAGCGCTAATATTCTGCTTCAGGATTTTTTTTAAAGTTAGATATACGAAGGGAAGAAACAAGGTTGTTCCACACCGTTTATGCTACAACGGCAAAGGCTCTGTCACCGATTCAATTCTTGTCCTCGGGATATTTAAAAGGCAAATTGTATGGACGCCTTAGTTTTCTTGGGTTAGACAATGATAATAATGAATTGGCTAAGAATAGCGCAGAATTTTCCAATTAGGGTTTAATGGATGAACAGGACCCAATGTATGTTTCTTCTTGCATCAAATTATGTGAGATTGGTTTTTAAGTATAGGTCACAATTGTCTTGTATGGTACATCCAGTGCTATTTTCACAAACTCACAGGCAAAAGTTGCCTTGCTTGAAAATACTTTTATCACCATCGTAATTATATAACTGCATTGTACGTATAATTGAACATATTTGCACGTATATATCGGGATTCAGTTCTCACTGAACTATGTTCTGGGTCACTGCTAAACTGGAGCGGGTTGGCAGTATGTAACTAGTACATACAGCCATGGCGAGAGATATACTGGATGTGGTGTGCAGGGAGATGAAATATATTGTGGGTCACCGACTTGGTCAATGAAAGCCCGTACGTATATTTCAAGCGAATGCTTCAGGTAATGCATCTTCTTTATATGCAGAAAAAAACAATGTGGTCGGGCTGAAGTGTTTGAGTTATACTTGAGAATCATGTAGTGTCAAATGAAGTGTCTTATGGAGACTGATGAAGTATTGTACGCAAATACATTTCAACTATTGGCATAATGTTTTCCAATGAAGGACATACACGACGAAAATGCAATGTGAAACACCCTGTAAAGGATGCTATATAAATCCGAAAGAGAATAGCAAACCATTATATAGCATGTAATGTTATATATGTAATGTTATATATGTAATGTTATATATATATACAAAAATTGCAGGCCTTTGTCACACCGCTGCCGAATTAAGGCCGTCCCAAGCAATTGGTCACTGGGATTATTTGACGATATTTCACCACTCTGGCCCATGTTGGTTCGTGAAGTGGATGGCCCAAGACTGGTTCAGATATCACTCACCACTGATGTTCGCCTTCACCGGAAATTGAACTCGGGTGACCAGTTTCATGGTGTAGTGGGATAACCAATGTGCCACAGCCTGTTAATAGTCGCTACTTTATCGACATTTCAAAAGAGGAATTATGGGAAATACAATCGGCAATTCTTGAGGTGCTTTTCATTATTGAGCCTTTGGGGTGTGCAGCTTTGCTAGAACGGAGGAAGTTATCTACTGGTTAACCACTCTAAACGACCGCTGTCTGTCACTGATAATGACAAATTAACTGAAACCTATAATATGATTAAGTATTGGTATAATACTCTATATTATCTGGAAGCCACGTGGTACATCATTGATGTTTGACAATGCAGGTATTCGTTAACGTGGTGTTAGTCTACTATGGTCCACCAGTGGTGTAAACTGCTGCCAATGTAGTCCCTTAAATGTAATCTTTGGCCAAAAAGTATTATTCTTTGATAATATTGCCTCTTGGTCAATTACTACTATATACGGTATGCAAAAAAATAGATACGTGTTTGAAAAAACGCAACATTTTCATCAAAAAACGTATTTAAATATTTAGGAAATTACCCTTCTCTATGGCACATGTTCAATGCAGAAGGGCCATTGCCCAAAGCGTTGCCCATTATATATACTTTCTTATAAGGTGGTGCTATTGATGAACGTGTGGTGTATTTTTTGTTATTTGTGCATGTGTACCACTACCAATGCAGCAACATCACTAAATAATTTGATAAGTCTTAGAGATCGTTAAGCTTGGGACAAATGCAAATACTGAGCGTTACCGATGCAAAGCATGGATCACGTTATGCGAGGCTCATTTCAATGCACATCTAATTTTAGTGGCTGTCAGTGTTTTTGAAATGCGAAATGTTACGAGACAGTGGTAATACATTTCCATCATGGCCATATGTTTTTTTTTACTCAAAATCTTTTTTTTCCGTCTGATTCATGATGTACTTTCACATGCGTCTCAACCATTTGTATTATTTTGATAGCCTTGATTGTTGCCATCCAGTGGAACAACTTAAATTATATTTACAAATCTGACTTTAGTAGCTAAGGTCACAAGAGTGTAATCGGGCTTGGGAATGTCCAGTGATTGTTGGTATTTTCTTCTTGTAAATGTAATTTTCCTGTTAAATCTCAAGGATAACATACAGTATATACATATTTTTTTCTAGATTTAAAGCTTTCGGGACTGCAAGGATCCATACTCACGTAGGTAAAAAAAATAAAACAACAAAAATCACGACGTTTCGGCCACAACACAAGCGGCCTTCATCAGGTGAAGGGACCAGGCTGTCTCGAGGACAGCGCTGGAGTGAAACACAGCCACGTTTGAAATATTCTCACAGGGTTTGTACTTTCTGATCAATAAATTGCTTTAAAATCACGATATTATAGATATAAAAAACTAAATACAAAATGTATATCCATAGTTGATTTATTTATTGAAACAATTAATAAGCAGCCAATAATATTAATATGCATATGCACATAACTGAT